GTGACCTGGCTTACCACATCTAAAACATACTTTTTGTTCTTGCCAGTAAGTATCCTTATGAGTCTTTCCACACGTGATGCACTTAAGCAACGAGGATTCACTTCCAACTAGCATCCCTCTAACTCCATTCCCAAACTGATGTGGGGATGGAGGTGGTGGCAGCAGAGGATGTTGGCCGTCATTACAACCAATTCTCATCTTCTCCAATATGACTTGTACCATGGTTATATACGCCAGTCGGTTCGCCTCTAATACATCCTCAATGGCTTTCTGGTTTGCCTCTCTAATGGCATCCATCATAGCCTGGTTGGCCGCTCTAGGGGCCTCCTGATCGGCATGTCTAGCCCCCTGCATCTCAGCTAATGCAGTCAGGATAGGATCAGGCTGACCTTCATTCGTCTCTTGTAACACCTTGTGTGCACTCGGTGTATTAAACATACATATGGTATGGCGCAGCTAAATAAATGCGGAAGCTAACTTTTTCTTTTCAATTATGACGACATCATTATTAACCAAGTTGATTAATTATTCCTTTTTCAAAATATTGCCTGTATGTAAATTACAAATGAAACTAACTGAAGAATCCTCATATCATAATTAGTATCGGGTCACGAAACTACGACATGTAGACCGGACCAAATCCAAATACATAAGTACAACTCAAACATAAACCAATAAATCTGAAATCAATGTGGCATGGACAACCCCCATGCTCACCAAATAAACAACATAACCATCAAGTCTCAATACAATAGTCATAACAGGAGAATCAGACATAATCATGTAAAATAACTAAATCATCAAGCATGCATCAGTCAGCTCAACTCTGGCCTCCTGCCGCCAGAGGTCTCAACCCCCGAGGTACCTGAACCTGAAATGTGCCCCAACACGGGGTAAGATCTCTAAAAAGAAATCTCAGTAAGACAAGGGGTCCTCAAGGATTTCTCCACCCCAAGCTCACTTACATGTGCAATATAAGTTCAAAAACAATATACCAATATCATTTCCAAAGTCTGTGCAATGCAGCATATAATCATATCATGTGTGTATGCATCCTACTGGCCAGTGAATAAAAATGTAGGGATTACATACGTCTACAACCTACAGTACACGGAACACCGCTTGTACCTCTCCCACGGAGTTGCCATCTTGTATGTCTCCACATACTTAGGATTACCGTCTAGGTGGTACACCACATACACATCATATGACACTTGCACTTAACCGGTCAATAGCATTTCAAATATTCATCACATAATTTCACAAAACACATTATGCATATAAATCGTCCCTCCATGAGGTATGGTGGAACCAATAATGGGCAAAACCGAGGACACGAAAGCTTACCTCGTAAGCTAACAATCCCAATTCAAAGGTCCACACCAGCCCAAGTTATTACTATGGTGGAACGATAATCTGGGACTTAAACACTCCCAGTTATTACTTGATGCGTGCACTTGCTCGAAGTGGTCTTCATTTTAGGGAATAAATGTGTTCCCTCTGATTGATTATAAGAAGGACCAAAGTCACAATTCTGGAAACAAATGTGTTTTCCTTGATAGACAGTAAGAGGACCCAACAAGTTTTTTGGCGCTGTTGTCGGCCATAGTTTTTGCTAAATCCTATATTTTAGATTGTGTTCTTTTATTTCACTAACTTGTATTTATTTTATTTATTTTCTATTTTTTTAATTTTCGTTATTTTATTCATTTATTCTTTACACTGCTGAATTATTTTTATTGTATAATAGTTTATGAGTGAATCTCCTTATTCATCTGATTATTCATCTGACTCTAAAAGACTTTTCTTTAACCTTGATTTCTTTGATCCAGAACCTAAACATACTCTCCACCAAAGAAGAAGAATCCTAAGGCAAACTGAAACAAAAAGAGAGATGGCTGACCACATTGACAACAATGGAAACAGGGCTGAAATAGAAGGAACACCACCACCATCCCCTGAGCCTACATTTAGAGCTCTGGCTACTCCATCTCGGAACAGATCAGAAAGAGGAGTTGTTTTTCCTCTAGTCACAACCCCAAACTTCGAGCTTAAATCTATGATGTTTAACATGATTTTGGAAGTTGGAGTTTTTATTGAACTGCATAATGAAGATCCATATGCTCACCTCAATGATTTTTTAGACATCTATGATAATTTTAGAACAGATGGTGTTAGAGAGGATAACATAAGAATGAGGTTGTTTCCTCTTTTTCTCATGTCAAAAGCCAAAATTTGGCTGAAATCCCTTCCACCCAGTTCTATACACTCATGGGAGGAACTCTAACAAATTCACAGAGAGATCATTTCCATGTCTATCATGGCATAAGTAAGGGGAGAGCTGTCCAACTTTCGTATATTTTATGGAGAAAATTTCTACGAGGTATAGGAACGATACAAAGACACTATAAAGAAATGTTACTGTAAATGGAGATTACCTCACCTTATCAACATTTTAAATGAGTTATATAATTATTTGAAGAGTTTGATGTTTCTCATGTTATAAAAGATAAAACTTGTATATAAGAGTATGAGGGCCAATGTGGGGTCATATGAAGAGAATAGAAAGAAAAAGAAAATATGACCCCGTATGTTTTATGTGTGTGTAGTGGATAATTTTATTTCCAACAAATAAGAGACATTAAACCCTTATTGGAATCTAAGCATTAAGGGGGTGTTTGATAGAGGAGAATTTTTTTTTATCCGAAAATCATGATTCTTAGGAATATGGTAGGAAACTGAGTTTTTCGGGAATATTACCAAAAAATTATTTGGTAGGTAAAAAATAATACAGAAAATATTAGATAAGTTTCCTCTTTTTCACATACTTTTTTCTATTTTTCCATCAATCAAAGAAGGGGAAGGATATTGTGACAACCAAGTTGTGTTACTACCAAGTGACTACCAATCAATCTTACCGTTAGATCGATTATATTGATCTAACGGTTATATTTATTTCCATCTTTGTATGGTCATGATTCCCCAAATTTAATACTTTATATTTATTTTCACTTTTGTATGGTTATGATTTCCCATATTTAATGCTTTCACTTTAAATATAGGGAATCATGACCATACAAAGATGTAAATAAATATAACCGTTGGATAACATAATCGATCTAACGGTGAGATTGATTGGTAGTCACTTGATAGTAACACAACTTGATTGTCACAATATCCTTCCCCATCAAAGAATACCACCCAAGTAAATCACTTTTTCGAGTAAATTTTCTTAAATGTGATATCAAATATGGTCTTCTTGAAAATCCCCATTCACTTTCCTAGATATCTAAAAAAAAATTCTTTACCAAACACCCCTAAGGTAGTGTTTGGTTGGGGAGAAATTTTTTAATAGTAGGAAAATGTAAATACCAGGGATCTGAAGGAAAAATGAGTTAGATGGGAAAGTTTTAAAAAAGTCGTTTGGTTGGGTAAAATTTTACCAGGAAAATTGAATTAAATTTCTGGATGTGTGTTTGGTTGAAGATAAAATATTGATGGGAAACTTTAATGAAATTACGAAACTATCCTCATAAAAAAACCTTGGTTTTATTACATCCTTTGAACCACAATAATCCATTTTCGCTGTCGTGTTTGACTCATTCCATCGTTGTCTCCGTCTGTCCCCCCCAAGTTCAGCTGAACCATATGCAAAGGTAGGGATATAAGCAAGAGAAAGAGGATCTTGTTCAGATTGCAGAGGAGAAAGATTGTTGCATAAAAGATCTTCAAAAAGATATAGCTATGGCCTGCTTGATGCAAGAGTCCATGAAAAACAAATTCGAAGATGCAATTCTTACACAACTAGATGCAGAAAAAGCCCTTGAGTAGGAGAGGGAGATTCTTTTGAAGATTAAAGATGAGAAAGATTGAACTATAAAGCGCTTTGAGGAGCTGGCTACAGCAATGGAGCAAGATTTATTAGGTGCACTGTGTTTCTCTTTCTCAAAACAAGTGGGAAAATGTGTCAAGGTTAGTGCGCTTAATGAGGCCTTGAAGAATGCAGAATACCTGACAAAGCTAGAAATTGAAGAGAAAAAATCGAAAACAGTGAAATTGGAATTGGAAATTAAGAGTTTGACCGAGAATATTGCACAAACCGAAGAATCATTCTTCCATTTAAAACAAGAAGCAAAGCAGCTTCAAGGATCATTAGAAGTCGAGAAGTTGGAAAATGAAAACTCAGTTCGAGATAAACAGCAGACCATGGAATACATAATTAACGAGGGATAAACTTGTCTTATTTTTCATCTCCCTTTCCATCAAAACAGATTTCTCAACAATACCATGGTGAAAGAGGGCAAGTGAATCTGAGATTTTCTTCCATTTTACACTGATATGTGGATAGCTGGGCAAGGAGGAATGATGGGTAAGGGGAACGTTGTCCTCAACCAAACGGGGAAAAATAAGAAACCCACTTATACTTAGCTGGGCAAATTTTCATATGCCCGAACCAAACACTGCCTAAGTGTGAACCTCTCCTACGTATAATACTATTATAAAAGAATCATTATATCTTAAGAGTCACAATTATATGGAGAGATTCAAATATGAAATCGAATTATTCATATGTCAGTTAGGACTTTGGACACCGGTGATATCAATATAAAGAATAATTATTTTATTAAAATAATCCTCACAATTAAAATTTGTTATTATATCAACCTTTAATTTATGAATAGATATGTAATGTGAAAACACTATTAATCTAAAATATAATAAAACTATCACTTTAATGTTTAATTCGTATCAATCATATTACAAATTTACTTACTATCACATAAATTTTTAAAATGTAAATTTCGTCTAAATTAGTTTTAAAAATTAATTAAACTGATAGAATATATCTTTTTCAAATTGATTTACTAGTTTAAATAAAAAATGGCATGACAATAAGAAAAAAGAAAAAATTAAAAACAAAATAGCCAATGGCAATGGCTGAGCTTGATAAACCCTAAACCGAACCTCCTTTGATTATGCACTCCGAATCCGAACTACGAAGAACTTGACCTTCAAAATAAGATAGAGAATCACATTCCCACTACGAAGAAGTAATAACAACAATAACAAACAAACAAAACAATGCTTAATAATAGTGTTACTTAGTTATCGTTCTGGAACTTTCGATTCTCTACAGGCAGGACCTCCATCACGACCATGGGTCGTCACTCATCCACCAATCATTCTCCCTCCTCTCGCCGTCACCGTAGCCACCGCAGCATCTCTCCGCCGCTGCCAAGAGAAAAGCATCATCATTCGGGTCGCGGCTCGGCCAAACCAGCTCGGGCGGGTTCGAGTTCGCCGGATCCTCTTCCTCGCTCTCCCTCTCCGCGAACGAAGAGGTTGAAGAAAGTTCAATCCGAACGAGAGGGTGAGCGCGAACCTGAGCCTCGCGAGAGTGAGAGGAACCATGGTGGTGGCAGAGGAAGGGGTTCGGAGAGGGATGCGGTTGAGCGGAAGGAGAAGAAGAGAGCGGAGAACGACGACGATGGCGGTAGGAACAACAGGTCGTCGAAGTCGAGGCACGACAGGTCGCCGGAGCGCGACCGTAATGGGAGGACCCGGCACAGGTCTCAGTCACCGCAGCATCACGCATCCGCCGCAAATGCAAAACCTCGTGATGAGGTGTCCGGTGATATCCAACCCTAGTTCAAACTATTGCATCAAGTTCTTTCTTTTTTATTTTAATTGTTTTTTATTCGTTTATTTATGTTGTTTTGCCGAATGGAAGAATTTCAAGTTTTCTTTTTTTAATATTTAATGCTGTTGTTGGAATTGAAGAATGAGGATTTGGTTTAAGAAATCGTGTTATGTTGCTATCTTTTGTTGTTTTATATTCATTATTTGAATCCTGTTTCGAGTGTTGGTAGTGAATTTTGCTAAAAAAAGGGTATAAGGAGTGTAACTGTGTAAGTGTTATTGCATGAGTTGGGTGGAAATTTAGGTGTTACAAGATGTTTATTGAATATATGGAATATAGAGTTTTGGAGGTAATTTAAGAAAATGTAAAGCTTCTTCTGACGTTTGAGTAGATCTCGGGTTGTTTGCAAACAAATCTTTTGTGATTGAGAGACTTTAAGAATAGTCGTTGTTGTTTTACTTAAGGTGCCTTTGAGGATCCTAGAAAGTTTTTGATGATTCCATGAAGGTGGCTTTGAGTTAAATGTTTTATGTTACTACAGAAATGTGGTAAAAAAATGTTATTGTTATTGAAATCATAGATTTTATCCTTGTATTGTGATTAGCGGATTAAAGTATGGCTCCAATTATGCAAATTGTGAGAGCTCTGATCCTTGTAGCTTGTGCATTGACAGCCTATCAGATGCCTCTTTGCATTTGAAATGTATTGTTTTGCTTTTACATCAAGAAATTGTGTTAGGTAGAGTTCAGGTATTAGGCTGGTGCTTTACAGTTGAGATTCCTTGTTTTACTTCTAGAAAAGAAAATTGCCAGATTCAAGAGTTCCCTTTTGCTTGTTGGGTGCATGTTTATTTCATGTTGCTTACAGATGTTACTGGGTAGACATATTATGGAGTGGTGGTGTGATCTCATCACTTTTTTAACCTATTATAGTATTGAAGATTAAATAAGGATTAAGATGAGGATAGTAGAATCTCGGGACTTATTGAGGCTATAGAATGTTGCATTTCACATCCTGAAGCTTCTAGTTTACGTACTAAATTATTAATTTGAGTTGATATGTCATAGGTGAGTGATGATAAGCATGACAAGTGATTAGTGAAGCCACTATTTAACATAGTTTATTTGATATGACCAGTGATAATTGATGATAAGCTTGGCATATGGGAACATAAGAGTATAGAAATATGCACTTGTATACTAGTGACTGCTTTCAAATGATAAAAAATTTAACACTTTTTTTCTTGCATTGCCTTTTTTCTTTGGGAAAAGCATTTGTCATTTTAAAGGACACAACTTTGTGTCATTTTAAATGAAACGACATTGTTTTGGTGCATAATTGGTGATATTTTACATTCTCTCTCCATCACTTTCTCTCTCTTCTTAATTTATGGAGGAGAGAAAATATGAAAAATACCAATTATGCACAAAAATGACGCCGTTTCATTTAAAATAACACAAAGTTGTATCCTTTAAAATAACAAACGCTTTTCCCTTTTTCTATAGTATTTGTTAATGTCTTGTTTCTCAAGGATAGAGAGAAAGATGGGTTTTTTATTATTGTCCATCATTCTCTCTTGCTTTTTGTAGATTCACTTCCAAATCCTATTTCTGACTTTTCTTACAGAGCAGATTAATTTTATCCTGTCTCCCATCTTGGTCCCAAAATTTTGATTTACATTTTCTTCCAAACTTTTGGTATTTAATTTTGCATTTTCCCTTGTTTTCTCCCATTATTATGTCTCTTTATTCCTGTTTTGTACTTATTTCCACGAGTTTTCACTTTTCTCTTGAATTGATGGCTTATCTTGATTGCTGTTTAATTTTTGCAGGTGACAAACTCAGGAGGAGCTGAAGAGATGTAAGCTTCTGTTCAACTGTGAATTGCATATTCAAGTGTTGCTGTCGGTTGATGTTGACCATACTGTTTAATTGTTGGTTTTGGTTTGATTTTAAGCCAGATGTTTTAATAAGAATGATATACTTTGGAGTAATTTTTGTCATTCGTCCTGCTGCAAATTTATATTTTTTTTCAAATTGCATCTAAGAGAAGATGTCTTTCTTGTTTAGTCATAATACCAACTTTGATAAAAGGGGAGGGTTGCTGTAGAGTGGTAGCTATTTTATGACCTTGTCAAATCATTGAACATGCATCTAAATCTAAAATTTTAAGTTATTATCCATGGGGTGTTTCCTTGTTGTGATGACTGCACTGTACCTATATGCAGTGAAAATAAATTAAAGTTAGCAGGGGCTTTGCTGTATTGACATGCATATAGAGGTAAGAGCGCAGATCTGTATGATAATGTATAGAAGGACAGTAGACGACTTGAGAGTGCATCTTAGATTTATTGCTTTGGTTATTGGAATGGAAAAAATGTACTAATGTTTTCTGTAGCATATGATTTTAGTCTAGTTGACGTTTGGTTTAGGAAAAATGCATTTATTGAAAATTCTTATTGTTTATGAAGCCCAATTGCATTGATTGATCCATGTAGCTGACACCACCTAGTAGGATGAGGCTTGTTTTTGTTGATTGTTGGTAGTGTTTGGCTTAAGAGAAGAAAAATCTATAGGTATATTCTTGAAGTAGTAAAGAGAAAGAGTGGTGTGTGTTCGTAGAAAAATGTTTTAAGCAAGTTTGATGGATCTTAGATGAGTATGAGTGTTTGAAATGAGATGATAGCATTTACCTTTTATAAGTCATTAAATTGCCTACTTTAGTCTGGAAATATGGGCTTCTATGAAAAATATATATTGGTGAGAATGGACATGAAACTATTCACGCTGTAACCCTAAATGGCTAAGATGGAAATGTGAAAGCTGTTGGAGATGTGAGAGTCAATGCATGTGGTGAGCATCTAATTATGGAGTATGCTTTAGCATGCTGGGATGCTGAGAGACAAAATGTCCAGAAACAACACCCACTAAAATGATAAAGTTTATAAATAATGATCAAAGACATGAATGTATTATAAATGAAAACAACAGCTTGAGGAATCGGGTAGCTTCAATTGAAGATCAAGTGAGACAACCATTTAGATAGTTTGTAATTTGTAAATGAATAATATAGAGATAGAGATGTAAATGTTACTATTGGAAACAGTGTGTTGGATTAATCAAAGAGGATAGGAATTTTTGAACTAATAGTGGAACAAATAGAAATGATATAGAAAGATATGATTTTAAAATGATTAGTGTGGGGTTTGGCTATAGACAGGATCACATGGTAAATGAAAGATCTAGCAAATCACAAATAGTTTGTAATTAAGGTAGTTCTTTTGTACAATTTTGAATAATGTTAATATTCTGTAGAATATTAAGCTTTTAGCTTCTTTTCCTTTATCTGTTCATTTGTTGAACATCCGTCTTTGATTCGCTCCCTGGTTCTTTGCTTGCCTTGATCAGATGAATAATAGTACTTAAAGGGGCTACCTCATGTATCTATGTTAGTTAGCCTAGGTGTGATCTCAATTGGGTTTAGCTATGTGAAATGAGAACATCAGAGCAGTAAATACTGTTTGTAAGATAATAATTTTAACTGGCCTTGCGCTGGAACATGTTACAGAACTCCAGTATTTCGTGGAGATCATCAGGTTGAATGTTCAAACAAGGAATAGCATGCAGAGCTAAATATTCATTTCTATTAAAAATTTAAAACTGAATGTACGAGTCGAAAAGAGACGAGTCTCAGTGTTTTAACAGAAAATTTAATATTCAGACCTCGAGTATGGAGTTTAATGATCTCATCACAACTATTTGAGTAGTGTTGAAATTGTTAATAAAACTGAAACAAAATTTAAAAGAGACTTGTTACTTTGCTTCAGATCCTTTCTTATATTCTCTGCTCTTCTCTCTCTCTCTCTCTCTCTCTCTCTTCTCTCTCTCTTCTCTCTCTCTCTCTCTTATATGGATTAGAGTTGGTTGGTATAGCTTCTGATGAAAGCTTGATTGTTGCTTTGGCAGGAATGATGAGAATGATTCTATTGTGAAGATGAAGGCTGCTGCGGAGGCTCTGGAAGAAAAACAGAAGGTAACAATGCACTTTTTTTGTAGTATATTGTGCCTGTAATATTATGTAGTCCTCCATATGTCCTTTGGTGGGTTAGGATTAAGATCCCTTCTAGATAATTTAACTGGTGCATTACTGCATTTGTTCAGGGAAGTGTGACTTGTTTACTCATATTTTATTGTCGAGCTTAATACTGTTGATTAGAGGGTGAATCTTGGAGCAGCGGTAAGATTGCTAAAGTTACGGTTCGAATCTAAGAAACAACTTCTTTCTAAAATGTAAGGGAAAGATTGCATGCAATCGATATTCACCCTTACCCTCACAAAGTTGGGGAGCCTTGTGCATTGAGATTTTGCGCTTCATACTGTTGAGTCTTGATCTTTGGGAGTTTCTATTGCTAACTTGGTGAATTAGATGCTTTGCATGTGAACATTGTTTAAACGTCCCCTTGTGTTGCTGCAGTATGATATAGAGATTATTCTTCTCAAAGAACATAGAAAAGGATTTTTATGAAGTACTTGCTTCAGATTTTTTATTTACAAGTTACCATAGTATTCAACTAGGCATCCACTTCCTTTATGGAGGTGTGCTTGAGTGAGACATCCAGGCTCTAGATACTGCTGCCAATGTTTAGTTAGACTTTACCATTCAAAAAGGAAAAACAAAAGACAAGTGGTTTTGAAAATGTAGAAAAAAAGGAAGGAGGGAACTAAATATATAAGTTTTATTAATGTAAAAAACACTAAGACAACATTTATGTTTATGCTGATTTAATTCACATTAAGATGTGTGCCCAATACTTAGTTTGTCTATATTAACTAGGATTGCATTGCAATACAAGGAAAAATAATGAAATATAATTTTCTTTAATAAATTAAAAGCTAGTATTTATATTTTTGTATAAATGCGGATTTAGATTTTCTAAGTGATCTATGTGTGTTGACTTTTCTGAAATCCTCTGCCATTTCAGCAAAAACCTTCATTTGAGCTGTCTGGAAAGCTAGCAGCTGAAACAAATCGAGTCAGAGGTGGGACTTAAATATTTTTTTATTGTAAAACTAGTTATTTGATCCTTAAGTGAGTTTATCTTTCGTTTTTAATTGTATACTAAACAGTATTTATTTTTTCAGGTGTTACTTTGTTGTTCAATGAACCTCCTGAGGCTCGAAAACCTGATGTTAAATGGAGGCTTTATGTTTTCAAGGCTGGTGAAGTGCTAAATGGTAAGTCTGTGTGGCTTCTGCTCATGATTTATATTATTCATATTTCTTTTTTTCTTATGTCATAATAACTCCCCAACCCTGGCCACTTTTTCCTTTATTCCACAAACAGCCGTTTGCTTTACTGACTAGAATATGCTCTGCTTGCTCTGTCCTGACCAATTTGATATTTGGTTTTACTCTTTTTTATTACGATCACTATAGATTTTTCTTTGCAATTTATTAGATGAGTTTCTAATAACCTAGCCATTGGGGTGGGGTGAGCTTTTCAGAATTGGATGAGTCCTATGTCTGTATCCCTTTTCTATTGTTACATTTAGGTGTATTCCTGTCTTGTAAATTTTCAATATTTAATTTTAATCCTGCTTTTTTTTTCTTTCAATTCTTCTTGCAGTTAAATTGTTAAATGAAAATTATTCTATAATGTTGATGGGCCTAAATGGAATTACAATTTTCTTGACTTCCAAAGAACAATTTATTGCTCCTACCTGCTTTTGCTAAAAGAAATGAATATGATTGACAGAGCCCCTTTATATACATCGCCAAAGTTGCTATCTTTTTGGAAGGGAAAGAAGGGTTGCTGATATCCCAACAGATCATCCATCTTGTAGCAAGCAACATGCTGTTATTCAATTCCGGTATATCATTAGTTTAAGCAACCCCCCGGGGATTCCTTTGTTTATTGGTGTTTTAAGTTTTAACGCTGATCGAATTTTCTGAATTTTTTTTAAATTCCTTTTCATGTTAGGCAAGTTGAAAAGGAGCAACCTGATGGTACATTATTAAAGCAAATAAGGTAATGTCTGATTCTTTATTTTCTTGTCTCTAAATGTACGGCCACAAGTTTCTGCATGTGCAAACCCTAACATCTATGTGATTTGCACTAGGCCTTACATAATGGATCTTGGAAGCACGAACAAAACTTTCATTAATGTGAGTGGTCAATGAATGTCTTTGATTATTTTCTTCAATTATATTCATTTGGTGCCGTAGCAATGAATGAGCTGAAGTTAGTTGTCTAATGAATCTAACTGATGCTGTCTGTTTTGCAGGATAGTCCCATTGAACCTCAACGTTATTACGAACTTAGGGAAAAGGATACCATTAAATTTGGTAATAGTAGGTAAGTGACAAGTAGATATTCACTGTTTTTTATGATGTTCAAAATACAGCATATTTCTTTTGTTTCATTAAAAAATTGTTAGGCAAAATTGTATCTTCTGTGCTTTTATTTGAATTTCTCGCTTTCCATTGAGCAAAAGATTTTATTTTATGGCTGTATTAATATATAATCCGAATCATTCATTCTTAGATCCTATATGGAATTAGGTTTAGGTTGAGAAACCTATCAATTGTGTAAGTTTACAGTTCAGTAATGGAAAAGGATTTTGTAAAGTGACTAGAGATAAAGGAGGATTTTTGGGTGGTAAGGGAAAGACAAAATTGAAAAAATAGAATAATATTTGAATATATAGAATTATATCCTGCGTTCTGTCATCCAGTAGAGCTATGAAATATGTGGGAACTGTTGGAAGTGCCGAGTTCAGACATTTCTGTCTACGGAAGTTTGAGTTCCTTAAGTTGTCAAACAGTAAGTTTACTCCTGACGAAGCTGAAAAAGATTTTCGTGATATTGGGACATCGTTGAATCGATGATTTTGCATGTGACAGATAAAATTTTGCTGGTTGAACTAGGTAGTCTGGTGCATGTTAATGCAAGGAATTTTCTTTATCTATTTTTTTTGGTTGGTGCAAATGCAAGGGATTTCTGACCACCACTCAAAGGATGCATATATAATGCTTTTGCTTCTCAAAATGCTCAACGCAGTAATATATTTTGTTCATTACTATTTTGTTGTATATAATACATTTTATTAACTTTTTTATTTTTATTTTGCAGCCGAGAATATGTATTACTACATGAGAACTCAAATGGGTAATATGGGCATTGAACCCTCCAAACTCACTCCATCCTGCTCATCAGAAGTGATTAAAGCAACATTCGAGTATCAGTTTTTCTAATCATGTAATTTTTGTGTATTCTCTCTTTTCATAAGTTTCTAGGTTAGTTTGTGTATGAGTTGCTTGATTTTTATACAAGACTCGGATTGGATATTTTATTTATAATTATACCATGCAATCTTGGGGCCCTGTCAAATGACAATTTCCGAGCCATGCTTAAGCAAAATGCACCCTTGGTGATATTTGTTTCAGAAACTGCAAACTTTGGGTAGGGGGCTTTAGCTTCTAATAATTGGAATAACTTTTCCCTTCCCTTCTCTCCCTCGTGGCCTTTAGGGGCATTTGGTAGAGGATAAATTTTTGTATGCCTTATAATCATGATTTCTAGGAATATGCTGAGAAAATGAATTTTTCGTCAATGTGATCAAAAAGTTGTTTAGTAGGCCAAAATATTATCGGGAATATTGACTCAAGTTTATTGATTTTATGTTTGGTTGATTATCAAATACTACTGAGAATGTTAGGTGATTTTACAAAAATAACCTCACCTCCGGTCTTTTCTTCAAGCACGATTTATATAGTTGTTCCTTGGGTTTTTGAGACGAACCTTGGGAGAATCTCACCCCAAAAGCTAGTTCAAGATATAGGAGAGCCTAAAGTTCATATAAACATCACATTAGTCACTTATATAATCAATATGGGACTCCAAGTCCCGTATCTTGGAATAGGATCGTAACACTTCACCACGTTTCGCAGTCTCGGTGTCCACGTCGACTTGCTTTGCGCTAGTATTTTACTAGCTCTAGATGAACATTGCAATGCTAATGTCACCACTCGTATCGCTCAATAGCAATTGGGAGACATAGTGGAAGGTTTTAATACCAATTGATACGAACTTTGGGAAACCATTATTCCAAAAGTTAGTTCAAGAGGTAAGAGAGCTTAAAGTCCATATAAACTCTACATTAGTCACTCATATAAACAGTTGGGACTCCCAAGTCCTATATATTGGAGTAGTATTTGACAAATGTTACGATCCTACTACAAAATATGGGACTTGGAGTTTCACATTGGTTATATGGGTGACTAATGTGAAATTTATATGCACTTTGGGCTCTTCCATCTTTTAAGCTAGCTTTTCAGATGAAGTTCTCCCAAGGTTCATATCAGTTTTCTACATAGAGATTTGTTCCCTGGGTTTTCTTCATCCACTTTCCTTCAAACACGATATTCTACCGAGGTTTGTTCCCGGAGTTTTCTTCTACCTCTATCATAAGACTTCAAATGCTGCCTCGGGTGGAACTTCAAATGCTACCTCTATCATAAGAAAAATAAAATGAACCATATTATTAATGGGAAAAAACAAGTATCATGTTGTAGGACAATTCTTTTGTCATGCTATAGAAACAATAAGTGTGGGGTCCATCATGTTTAAAAAAAAAAAAAATGCAGCACAAATATCGATGTATGTGTATGAAACTTTACATTTGTCATGCGACATAATAAATGAAAACCCATTGTTAATTCATTTGTGGAAAAATAAAAAGAAATATTTTTCAGCCCACAATTATGGGGTTTAGAGTCTACTAATTCATGCAAACATCAAATGCTTTCGTTTTCGGTCTCTGGTTTTAGGATCCCTTCAAACCCCTCATTTCCATTTCGCAAGTCATCGCCATCAACGAGTGCAAGCTTTCACATTGACACCCCACAATACCTAAACAACACTCATGGCTTCGAATTTGAACAGAATGCTTCTTCCGATGATAAAGTTGAAGACTTTCAGAAAGAAAAGGTGAGTGGGAGAGGGAGAGTGATTGGGGTCAACTAAGCTCACGGTGGTCCTGTAAGGAAGAAAAAGGCGAAGGAGAAAGAGACTTGTCGGAGTGAAGGTTAATTTTGTCAGTTTTTTCGTGTGAAATTTTCCACTATCTCGAAAATTCAAAAATAACACTTTATTGGTAGTATTTTTGGATGATATTTTGCTTTGCAAATTGTGTATAAATTAGAATCACGTGAAAATCAAATTTTTGAAATTTTTTTTACAAATCTTATATCAAATGCAGATAAATAGGATTTTCAATATTATTGTGAAAGCTCCTACCAAACATGGGTATATATAAATCCCACTTTCACTTTCTTAGCATTCTAAAAAAATTACTCTTACCAAACAGTCCCTAAATGACTGGTGAAGTCTCTTTTAAATCTTAGAGGATTTAGAAAAAATAAAAAAAGATAAAAAATCCTTGTCCCTTGCTGGTAGGGATTTGAGTGAGATACTTGATCAATAACATTTCGTTTCACGAAGAAAATTTTAGTACCTTTTACTCATTAAATTTTATGTTCGTCACTTGATTTAATAAATATAATAATTGAGGATGCATATAAATCATAATTTATGTTAAATCACAGTAACTGAGGATGCAATAATGCAATGGGGGTTTAAATCACATAATGTAAGAAATAAAAAATAAAAATAAAATTAAAATACAGGGTTTCAATTCGTAGGTTTAGGGTACTGATACGTTACAATCATGATGAACGGAACCGTGGTTAAATATAAAGAAGATTTGCTTGTCGTATTCACCGAGTAATTCACTGGAACTTCATATCACTGGTTAAATTAAAATTAATTTAAACTAAAAAAATCTCTTAATATATATATATATATATATATATATATATATATATATATATATTTATATTTATATAAATGAGTTATTTTTTTATTTTTATTTTAGAAAATTTTATATAATGTTTACTGAAACGATGTTATTTAGATGAAAATCATGATTTATAATTTTAATTTATTCAAGGGTTATAATAATCTTTATTATTCTAATTTTTTAATATTTCAATCCCAAACGAGATCGTTTAGTTGATCCTTTGTCTCCTTATCTTTTCATCCTTTGCATGGAAAGACTTGCTCATTTGATTAATGTAGCAGTTCAGGAGGACGTTTGGAAGCCTATCAGATTGAATAGAAGGGGACCACTGCTTTCCCATCTATTTTTTGCAGATGATCTTCTGCTCTTTACAGAAGCCATAGAAGGGCAAGCTGTTATTATTAATAAGATTCTTGATTGCTTTTGCAAGTGCTCTGGTGAGAAGGTTAGCAAGGAAAAAACAAAAGTCTTCTTCTCCAGAAACGTTAATCATACCCGAGTGCAGAATCTAAGCCAGTTGATGGGCTACTCTCCTACAAATGACTTGGGTAGATACTTGGGTATTCCTCTTGGTCATAGTCGTGTTACAAAGAGTATGTTTGGCTATATCTTAAATCGGATGCAAGCTCGTTTACATGCCTAGAATCAACGTACTCTTTCCTTGGCAGGAATATCAACTTTGGCTAGGTCAGTTCTTACTGTAATTCCTCAATATCCTATGCAAACTTGTATTATTCCTAGTGGTACGTGTGATCGTATTGAGAGTGTCACTAGGAATTTCATTTGGGATCAACTTCTGAACGAAGAAAAGCTCACCTGGTTTCTTGGGAGACGGTCTGTTTGCCGAAGAATGTAGGGGGGCTTGGTTTTCGTAAAATTAAAGAGAATAATATGGCTTTTATCATTAAGCTAGGTCACTGTATCATGACTGATCGTAATTCGTTATGGGTTGGGGTCCTTTGTAGCAAGTATAAGGTGGAGGAGAGGCTCATTCCAAGTATCTTGGCTTCAGCAAATGATTCTGGTTTATGGAAGGCTATTGTTAAGTATTGGCCTCAAACTCTAGAGAATTCTCGTATCATTTTAGGTGATGGGGTTCATACGTCTTTTTGGATGGATTCGGGGGTGCCAGGATGTCCTCAACTTGTTTCTCTGGTCGTTCAACCTATTCCTCCTATTATGACTCATTAGTCTACGTCTCAATTTGTAACTTGTTATGGTAATTGGGACTAGCCTTTATTCCAGCACCTTCTTCCTACTTCTGTATTAGACAAGATTCGTAGTGTTCTCCCTCCTACAGTGGATCCTTCTCCGGACCGTGTTATTTGGGCAGGTAGCCAAGATGGGGTTTTTTCAGTGAAATCAGCTTATAACTATCTCATGGGTAACTCACATTATCATCAGGATAGGATTTGGAAGGTAATTTGGGCTTGGCCTGGTCCTGAACGTATTAGACAATTCTCATGGCTTCTCTATAGAGGTTCTCTTTTAACTAATGTCCGTAGAGTGCATCGTCACATGGCTACAGATGCAGCGTGTCTGAGATGTCATTATAATCTTGAGGATAGCTTACATGCCATTAGAGATTGTCCTGGTTCCAGGGAATTATGGGAGCATTGGGTTCCTTCTGATAACCGTAGTGATTTTTTCTCCATGGATCTTCACCTATGGATTCAGACAAATCTAGGATTAAAAGATTCGTTTCAAACTGATCAAACTTGGCCTTTGTATTTTGGGGTGATACCTTGGTGTTTGTGGGGGGAAAGAAATAAGGCGATCTTTGATCAAACTAGCACCTCGAAGTATGGTCTCATTAGGCGCATTACCTACACTTGTGATAATATTCAATTGGCTAATGAAACCCTTATTAAGATTGGTCATCAAGAGCTTAGAAGAGAGGAACGTCTTATTCACTGGAATTTTCCCTCTGAGGGTTATGTTAAACTTAATGTGGATGGTTCCAGCATAGACAGTGGGCAAAGGACTGCATGTGGTGGAGTCGTAAGGGATGCTGCTGGGAACTGGTTAACTGATTTTACAAAATTCCTTGGGAGTGGTACTTCTACTTCAGCGGAAATTTGAGGGTTCTTGACATGTATGGATCTGGCTTGGCATAAGGGATTTAGGAGGTCTTTGTGGAGGGTGACTCCAAGGTGGTTTTGGAATTTATAAGAAAAGGGTGTGACGTAAGTCATCCTCTTTCTGCTTTAATCATCCGAGCTCGTAGCATGCTTCAAAGAGACTGGATTATTCAGCTTAGTCATACTTATAGAGAAGGCAATTTTGTTGCTGATTGGCTTGCTACTCATGCACCTCGTCAGGATGGACAGCTGATTGTGCTGGATGTCCCTCCAACGGCTTGTTTGAAATTGCTTCATAATAACTTGAGGGGAGTTAGTCTCCCAAGATTGTGCCCAGTATAGGGCTTTTTTTGATGTTGCTTTAGTTTTCATTCTATTTCCAAGAAAAAAAAAGATCGTTTAGTTGAACATTAGATAAAGATTTCTAAAGTAACATATTTTATATATATATATATATATATATATATATATATATATGTGAGGAATTTTTGTTTACAATCTTTTATAATCATATCTTAACCATTGATTTTCGTCAATCAATGATTATTATTTTCGCGAATTAAACTCATTAATTAATTATTCATTCACAATAAATAATAATCGTTGATTGAAGAAAATCAACAGTTAAAATATAATTATAAGAGATTGAAAACGAATATGAGTTGTAAATATAACATTCCTCTGTATTTATTTTTTTTGGTAAAGGTCATTCCTCTGTATTTTAAAACATAGCATTCTGTGCACCGCCATGATAACAGTATTAACATAACATGGGGGTGTTACGGCCACGATAACATAACATGGGGGTGTTTCATGTAACGCATTTCCTTGAAATCTGCCATTTTAAAATGACAGTTACTGTGAAATTCAGCGTCCACCTTATCAGCTGCAATTGTATTTTTCAAACCTTCATTGAATACTATTGTCATGCCTCTTCATCAATATAATGTTTGTCTGTGACGGGTCCAATTTAACGCCACAAGCTAGCCTTCCTTCAAAATATGATTAACTCCATGATATGTGGCATTGAAGGAGCCACTCACATCCACACACCTAGATGGAACAGATACGGACATGCGAATTGAATTGAACACGTGATAAATCTCCAATACTCTTCTAGATCATGAGTGAGGCAGTGAAGAATCTCTCACCTGAACTCTCTTCTAGTTCAATTGTTATTTATTTAATCACCATTACATTAGATTCTCACTTAACTTATATTGGTATCTTAACTGTATTTAATATTTTAAAAATATAAAAATAATTCAAGAATGTTTTGTAGGAGTAAGTCTTAGAAGATTATTAAGAAAATATTTTGAGAAAATATAGAGTGCTTGCCACATTATAATTGCCAATGTCACATATCTCAAATAATTTAAGGTGAGTAGTTGATGGTAATAAAACAAAGATATAGAAAAAGAAATAAAAAATATCGATGAAAAATGAGGGACAATGACCATATTGTCACCTTTTAGGCAAAAATTTATCGGATTGCTACGTCAGGAAAATCTTTTGCCAAAATGCCACTTCACATTCTTGCTATGTCACCCAGCGAGAATGGACTGGACACGTGGCAGCATCTGTATGGTCAACTATTCTAGCTGAGCAATCCAGCGAGAATAACAGGATGCTGACACGTGACAAAAGTACAGACATTCTCTACAAAAGTTGATCAGGTGACTAATCTCGCTGGGCTACCCAGCGAGAATGCATGTACTTTTGCCATGTGTCAGCATTCTGTCATTCTCGCTGGGCTGCTCAGTTAGAATGGTTGACCATACAGATGCTGCCACGTGTCGAGTCCACTATCGTTTGTTAGATTAGCGAGATTGTGACGTGACATTTTGGAAAAAAATTATTAAAGCGTGGCATATTGGCAAAATTTTATTAAAGGGTTGTGAGTTTGGTCAATGTCCTGAAAATTGCTTCTTTTGATTCAAAAGCATTTCGCTTTAAAAAATTATTTAGTTTCAATATATTTAGTATTTCGAAATTAGTTATATGTTTTTAATTTTATCTTTATCTCTTATTATTTTCATCAAATAAAATAAAAAATATTAATAAAGTGATATAATTTTGAACATTTTTAATTAGAGATAATTTTGTTGGATTTAATTATATTTTCTTGAAAACTGATATTTTTAACCGGCCGTAACATGTGCAATATGTATGGTAAAGAATTAGGGGGTATTTGGTAGGAGGTGAAAATTTTTTCCCCATAAAAAATGGGATGAGAAAAATTATTTGCCTATATTTGGTAAGAAGTGAAGTAAAAATAAGGTTGGAATTTTTTTTTTCACATCATTTGTTTTTCCATATAAAATTGTTATGGAAGGTTATCATCAGGGGTGTAAGTGGACTAGGCCGGCCTAGCCTATATTAAGCTAGACTTGGCCTATTACAAATAATAAAATAGAACATGCCCAAGCTTTTAAAAAAACCTATTTAGAAAATAGGTCATAAGTTTTTTTATACATGTTGAACCTATAATCCTACAGGCCGACCTACATCATATTATTTATTTTAAATAAGATTATTATTTTAATAATTTTGAATAATAAAGTAATATTATTTTAATTATTCTTTTAATTGTTGAATGTTTAATAGACTTAAATAGGCTAACAGCCTAGATCAGACCCAATGTTTGTTACACAAACCTGACCTATTTAAGTCAAAGCTTAGCCTAGTCTATTTATATCCCTAATTACCATTGATGGGGTCGAAAAAATTAACATACAACATTAGTAAAATTAATCCAATATTTTGAGAAAATTTTTGATCTACCAAACATCTTTTAATAACTTATTCGAAAAAAAAAAATTCATCATATTCTCAGAAATTAATTTTTTCTGGTAAAATTTTTTTTCCTTTACCTAATACCCCATGTAATCTGTTGGGGAAATGGTGCAATACTTTTAAAATTTTGTAAGATATTCTCCTTTAATTCCAAAAAAATTAAGGAAGTGCTATTTTCAACTTCTTATCATCTCGTGTTTCTTTTTTCTCAAAAAACATAAGGAAATAATAAAAAAGGTTCAAATTATATAAAAATTTGGTAAAAAAAATAATTGAATAAAATGACTTATCGGAGGATGTTAGCAATACTATAATCAGAATTTTTACTCTGAAATGGATTTTCTCATATAGAATTTTTTTTTAAATCATTATATCATATAAAAAATTATAATATCGATATTAATTTTATTGACAAACTTCATAAAAGAGAGAAGAAAAAATAATCAATAAAATTGTGACCGTTAATCTATTTATAAATGTAACTTTCACATAATATAATCATGGGAAAATTTATATTTACTATTTTTTTTCTTATTATTTCTTACTATCAAATATTAATTGTTGATTTTCGTTGATTTAACAGTTATAGTTTATTAAAATTTAATAATAAATTAATAAATATGACACAATAAATTATAACTATTAGATTGACAAAAATTAACGATTAATATTTGATAATAAGAGATAGTAAGAAAAAAAGGTAACAAATAACCTTCCCAATAATCATATTAAAAAATTTATGTAGGAATTCATATCCATCTTTACATTCTTAATTTGGTAAGAAATTAAAGTAAATACTCAGGTAGTAGGTGGTCTTCTAAAAAACAGTAAAAATAAATAGAACTTATATGATATTAATGATGAAAGAACAGAAAAAATAAATACAATTAACTACGTCAATTTGATTACCAAAAAAAAAACTATGTCAATTTTATCATAAAAATGTTTATGTAATTAATGCAGATAAGTTATTTATATTTAGTTTCAAAATGACGTCGTTTTAGTATTGAAATATTAAAAAATTATAATTATAAAGACTTTTATAACCCTGAAATAAATTAAAATTATAAAAATACCTTGATTTTTGTCTCAAAACGATATCATTTTAAACTCAATACAGATAATTTATCTATATTTATTACAGAAAAAATGAACCCTAATTTTATTTTAGCTTTAGCAGTGAAACATTATTCTTGAGTACAATATGATCATTGAAGAATTTTCCAGAAGCTATGAATTTCATATTGGAAATATAAGATATTGCAAATTAAATTAAATAAACAAAATCAATATACAACTAACAATTTGTAAAAAATAAAAAATAAAAAAATTCTTAATCTAAATTCTAAAATGTTTAAAATATTAGAAAAAAAAAGACATTTTCAAAGGAACACTCAATACATCAAATCATTTCCATGTCAGATTGTCAGATAACAAAAATCAGAAAAATCCAAAATATCAAACTGCAACCATTTTTAGAGTGTTGGAATTTTCGTCATCTATATATCTTGCTTTTGCAGAGAGACAATAGTCCTCATATCTCCACAACACATATAAATCCCAAAATCCATTTCTTTCAGAAAAACCTTGAAATTCTTCAATGGCTGCTTCTATCACAAGCTCTTCTGCTTGCAACAGCAGAATCAACCTCAACTCTTCAAGGGTGCTTCCCATTCTCAGAGGAACACACCCATCTTCCTATTTTCCTTCAAACTTCTTAAAGTTTGCATCTTTTCCTTCTTCCTTAGCTTCTAGAAACCCCTCTTCTGTCTCTTGCTCCCTCACCAGAGACCCTGCATCTGTTCTTCCATTGGAGGAACATGGCAAGCTCGAGAATGGGTCGGTTTTGCTTCAGCGACCCGATTCGTTTGGCAGGTTTGGCAAGTTCGGTGGCAAGTATGTCCCTGAAACTCTAATGCATGCACTCACTGAGCTTGAGGCTGCGTTCCATTCCCTTACTGCTGATGAAGATTTTCAGGTTTTGTAACCAAACCAAGATTTTTTTTTTTTTCGATTTTTTTTTTAATATATTTTTTTATTTTATTTTTTGGTTCTGTGAACCAATTTCATTGGATTTAGTTGCAGATGGGTCTCCCTTTCAATGTGGGGTTAAGCTGAAATTTGGTTTATAAAATGAGTTCAGTTTTCAATTTTGCACATTAGTTTTAGTTGACACACAAATTGATTGTTGAAATGTAGCACTTTCCCCCCTAGTTTTGCATACATTTGGGAATGTCATTTTGTGTGTTGAATGTCATTATGTTTTTGCTCTCGGAAGAATCAATGGTTGCACTCAACCTTGTCATTTTGAAGTACCATCTTTGAAGTTCTGTTTCATTTTCCTTTTTGCCGTTTCTTCAAATTTTGATACTTGTGAAATTTACTTTGTTGTGCCAATGTGAATTTGAATCATTTGATTCTTCAGCATATTTGTTAGTCTTTACTCTTTAAGTTGCATACAGAACTAAACAATTTGGAACTCCATCAGAACGTTCACTCAATTATACTGAGAATAACTTGTTATCACTCTCTCTCTCTCTCTCACACACTAGCACATTCTCTCTTCTTTGTTGTATGTTAACCTTCAGCAGCCATAGTGGAAATTTTCTTAGATTGATGTTTTAAATTGCAGAGAGAGTTGGCTGGGATTCTAAAAGACTATGTTGGTCGGGAGACTCCTCTTTATTTTGCGGAAAGGTTGACGGAGCATTACAAGAGGCCTAATGGTGAAGGGCCTCACATTTATCTAAAGAGGGAAGATCTTAATCACACTGGTGCTCACAAAATTAACAATGCTGTTGCCCAAGCTTTGCTTGCGAAGAGTTTGGGCAAAAAACGCATTATTGCTGAAACTGGAGCTGGTCAGCATGGAGTTGCCACTGCTACTGTGTGTGCTCGATTTGGTTTAGAATGCATTATTTACATGGGTGCACAGGATATGGAAAGGCAGGCACTCAATGTTTTCAGAATGCGTCTTCTTGGTGCTGAGGTATAATTTCACTTATTATTGTTGTTCCATTTGGTTAGGTTGATATGTCCTATATCTAGTCACTGAGAAATATATGCTTTCTCTCTTAAAGATTTCTTATTTTGTTGAAAATAAATAAATAGAAAAATTCTCCTTGGGAAAAAAATAATGATAATATTCTTATGTTTGTTGTTCTTCATGGCTTCATATGAGTGATCATCTGCTGAAGACAATAGTGTGGCTGAAGGTTGTCAACCGTCAGTCTTTTTTAGCATGCACCTTTAACAGTTGTGGTAGATGACATGTTAATCCTTTTAACTGCATGTACTGTATCTCTATAGATTGTCTCCTCGAACAAAATAAATGTCTTTTAATCTTTTTGTTTATTTCTTCTTCTTTTTCCTTTTTTTAATACGCATATCCTGGGATAAGATCATTTCACATATAAGCTTTTCATCGTTCCTTTTTTATTAGACCTACAAGTCTTTTGTGCACAATTGTCTTTTGAGCCTGACTTATGGATAAAATACTCTTCTTTCGTAATAGTAATACATTAAATATGTTGCTTTGTTGCATATTGCAATCATCAGCCGAACTATTTCATTCACGGAATAATTTATGAAGATTCTGAAAGTAGATGTCATGTTAACTTTTGAGAATTAAGGTTTTATTCCTATGTACCTAAATTAATTTTTTTGGTGTAAATTTTTCTAATCCTGGGGTTATAATTATAATGATTTAGGTATGAAAAGATAGTTATTCCTAATGTGCTGAGGTTCACTAATCGGTTGAAGTTACCGGTGAGTTTGAAAAAAAAATTGAGCATAGAGTGATCGATGATTGTGGATGTATATGGTTTTGTTCTTGAAAGTCGATTTAACATTACACTTGATATATACCATTTTCTGATGATTTTTAGTACTGTACATGTATGGATGCATGATGCTAAAAGACATGACGAAAGCACAGAACTGTAAGATTTGGGACATGACAAGAGAGTGGCATGACAATGCTACAAGAAAAAATATATATATGTATACAATAAAAACAAACTCAACACCATATTAATATAAGTAGCTGTATTTGACTAATTGCAGCATCAAATACTAAGTGTTAACTGATTTACATGTAAAACAAGCTTGGATTGATATTTCATCTGGGAAATTGTGTGCTCTTTCTCTGCATTGGACAACGTGTTGTGATGTGAATATACCTAGTTGCTTTGTATTGAATGTAAAAGATCTACAATGTGATCTATTCATTGGTCAAATAGGATAATTGTTGTAGATAATTGTATTGTAATTATCTATTTTTATTTATTTTTCATTCTAGAATCTTCTTTGGGCTTAGCCCATTAGGTCATTCAGTCTCTATAAATAAAGAGCTCTTGTACATTTATAATTAACAATTTTCACATAATACAATCCTACTTTTCAAGTTCTTTCTTTACAAGTATAATCCTGTAATGTAGGTGAGACCAGTACATTCTGGGACTGCTACACTCAAGGATGCTACATCAGAGGCTATAAGGGACTGGGTGACTAATGTCGAGACTACTCATTATATTTTGGGTTCTGTTGCTGGGCCGCATCCATATCCAATGATGGTAAGAGAGTTTCATGCAGTAATTGGCAAGGAAACCAGAAAGCAAGCTTTGGAAAAATGGGGAGGGAAACCAGATGTTCTGATCGCATGTGTCGGTGGAGGTTCAAATGCCATGGGACTTTTCCATGAATTTGTTGATGACAAAGATGTTAGGCTCATTGGTGTGGAGGCTGCTGGATTTGGCCTGGACAGTGGCAAGCATGCTGCAACATTAACAAAGGGAGAAGTTGGGGTTTTGCATGGAGCTATGAGCTATCTGCTGCAGGATGATGATGGACAAATAGTTGAGCCTCACTCTATAAGTGCAGGGTAATTCATCTGACTGATAATTTATTATCAGTTTTCGTGTCTATTCAGATTCTGTCTGTTCTGATTATTTTGTTATTTCAAAATAAATAAATAAATTGTTTGCAGCTTGGACTACCCTGGTGTCGGACCTGAACATAGCTTTTTGAAAGATTTAGGGCGTGCTGAATATTATAGCATCACTGATGAAGAAGCATTGGAAGGTAGGAATACCTTGAGTTTGCTGCTTTATCTAACACCCAATTATACATTTATGTGAAAAATATTTCAGTTAAATTAAAAGTTGCATGCATCTTGAATTTTAATAGTCATGATTTCTTTCTCTCTCCCTCCTTTGTCTTGGCATAACTTTGTGCAATTGTGCTTTGTTGTTAGCTGAGATTCTGTTATATGAACTCTCACATCAGTCACTTGTTTAAAACTTACGTTATTGACTTACTGTATCATTCCATTAATCTTGACCTTGTCGTCCTGAAGTTTCCCTTGCCACTTATTCTGTATACTTTCTACGTTGACTGATGTGGTCTAAGTTGATGATATCCATCTTTTCTGTTACATAGCAAATATTAATATTTATATATAAGTTCACTCAAAATTGTTCTGGATATTGACTTTGTGGTGAACTTGAAATCTCAATTTCTATTTTGGATATATCCATCGGTTCATCGATTACCTAACTAGTCCGGTTCAAGCACTGTCGGATTTATTATAGGGGGTGGCTATCCAAGACTATTTTCTCCATTCGTAGGGCTTGAATTTGAGACCTCTGGTTAAGGTGTTCAAACTGTATGTCTAGATGAAGGTGCTTCATGTCGGTGTCATTTGGTGGCAATCAAGTGGAAAACTGGCAATTACTGTGTCTTTTGCAATATTGCAGCTGATCTCTTCTTATCTTAAGATGCATGTATGCTTACAGATATGAATTCTGCAAACATAAAAAAACATTGGTCCTGATGGGAATTATATAACTGGGGAAGTAAGAAAGGGCTCATAAGTCCAATGTATAATAATCATCTTGCCCTTTTCCATCATATAGCCTTTAATAAGATTGTTATGGAGTGGATCCATATCCTAACAACCCTATTACTAGCAAAATTGGATAGGGATATCACAACCATATAATCTAGAGAGGATCAAGGGATAAGATCCCTATCCCCATCAATCAAGGCAGATTTCATATCAACTGGGTGATCTCAAAGGTCCAAGCCTATGAAGGTAATCTTTATAAATAAGAGGCTAAAGACCCCAGGTACACACTATCTAACTTATTTACTATTGCTGCCAACACTGTACATACACCCACGTCTTGGTTTAAGTCTATTGTTTGTGCGCAGTGATTGAAATATTGGCTATAAGTCAATCTAGATACCTATCTCTAAGGTATCTCTGAGCTTATACCATATAGTATATCATTACGGTTCTCTAGGACCGAACAAAGACGCATATCCTTTTTTACTTCTTTTGTGGCTAGATGTTAATGCTGCTCTTTTATCATATCTTGTTTCTCTGTCTTATTTTTGGTTGGTTTGGTATATGTAGCTTTTAAGAGGGTTTCACGACTTGAAGGCATAATTCCAGCTTTGGAGACATCTCATGCGTTGGCGTATCTAGAGAAAGTGTGCCCAACCTTTCCTAATGGAACAAAGGTTGTGGTTAACTTCAGTGGCAGAGGTGATAAGGATGTTCAAACTGCTATCAAGTACTTGAAGCTTTGAAGGGGTCAAGTCCCTTGAGTAGACCGTAGTTTAGCTGCTGAATGGGCTTCATTTTCAATCTAATGTTAAACCAAGTTCTAGTTAAAGAACCATGTATGTTTTTGCATCCCGGAACTGTGAGTATTCATTTTGTAATAAACTTCTGTTTTGAATGGCACAATAAAAATAGTGAAAGCAATAAAAGCATGCTGTCGAAACTTGATGCTTGGAGCTGTTGTATTTGCTGAGACCTAAAAGTAAACAAGTTTGTATTTGTGATGGTTGTGATTTGAAACCTACTAACCGATGCTTGCCTAGTATGCATGAAGCAATGAACCTATGACTTTGAATATTGACATTGGAAAGAAACTAAATACTTTGCAACCTTGTGGGAGAAAAGAAAAAAAGGAATTATCCTTTTTCGAGTGGTAATATTAAAAAGTTGAAACTTGAAGAGACAAACCTGGTAGGAGTATAATTGAAGTAATTTTAATTACACATTTCTCACTTTTTCTGTATATTATTGGATAATATAATGGTCTTATTATAACTTTTTCTTATAGTACAAATTTTGCGCATGCCTCATAGTTTTGGTTAAATTACAAATTACTACACTGTATTTGGGTCATTTTCTTAAAAAATCATCCCTTGTTTTAACAAAGCTAAGACAAGTAGGAGTTGAATTAAGGTAATGAAGTTATATATATGATGCTATGACAAGTAGGAGTTGCAATAGATATGCACAATGGTTTTCTACACTGCCCCTTTTTATCTCAAAACTTTATTTAGATTCTAATAAATTAATTGTTTACTGCATTGTAGTTCAACTAAAATCTTGTTCCCGTTTGGATACTAAAATTACTATGATACTAGGCTTTTTTTTTTTTTTTTTCTTGTCTGATAATATATGTTTTACTTGAAAAGGGTTATTGCAGTGTCGTTCGCAGGGCCAGCTTTTTAATTATTATTGTTATTATTAGAGCAACTTAACAAAATATATGAAATATATATGGGTGACACAATTCAAATCCCTGTGAAATCAAATCATACAATTCAATTATAGTCTCAAGTAGCACAATTGGAATGGAAAAGCTGTCACCCACAAAACACTGAATATAACAAAATAAACAGGATTTTTCTCAAACTTAACTGTCACCCACAAAAACAATTAGCAGTAAGGAAAATTGTTCATTCAATTCGTATAAAATTTTCGAAATCAAATAACTATTTGATGAAATTGAAAAAATCAAACCTATTCTTGAAACTCTGGCTTTTTTACCCTTATAACCCTTTATTAATAATTAATTATTAAATTGATCTTCATTATAAACTATTCCGAAAATTTAACCAACTCAAAAAACATAACACCAATCTGCCCCTGTTTGACCGTTGACCACCAAGCCTACCGGGTACACCTCTCCTTACCCGGGTATTTTTTGAAATTTTTTGCCTACCCGGGTGTACCCGGGTATTGTTCTTGGCATCTGAGAAATTGCTTGAATTATTTATCCGGGTAGGTAAGAGTGTACCGGGTAAATCTCCACATCTTGAGAAAATTTAGAATGGTGTAACGATGCACAATCCAAGCTCAGCCTCAAGCCACAGATGCAATGTGGACAATCAAATCAACAACACGGGTGCTGCAAACAAAGAAACAAAATGTCCTCATTACCAATAAAACTCTGTAAAGTAACAACAAAGGATTAAGGGAAAAAAATTTCCTCATCCTATTCAAGACCTGTTTAAGACAGCAAGGTTTAGGGAAGTTACCTGTAACCCCATTCGTTGTCATACCACGAAACAAGTTTCACGAAGTTGTTGTTCAATGAAATTACGGCCTTAGCATCAAATATGCTAGACCTGCATATGAAAGCAATATCCAACATTGTAAGTATAATTAGAGAGAACTGTTGGAATTTTTAATTCCTCTAAACTTTATGGTAATAACTATCACCTACAAGCCAAGATCCATCATACCAAATCATAAAGAAAAATAAGAACAACATAAAGGTGGAGGCATACCTGTCTCCATTGCAGCGGAATAACTTTGATCTTGTCTCTTGGGGTTTGTGTTTGTAGTCTTCCTCAGTCAAATTACCCTAAAACCGAATTCCTTAGTGTGTCGTCTCTCTCTTGATGGGGAAGAAAAACTAGGGTTGTTCTTTGACGTATTGGGGACCATAACCCTTTATAGTGTTTTTATCTTTATTGTTGGGCCAATAAGCTCCCATTATACCTAGTTGGCCCAACACCGGTATCCACTCATTCAGCCCATACTCACTTAGGAATCTATTTGGAAATATTTACCTGATCACTTTAATTTACCCAATATATATAAATAGCACAATATAATTATTAATATAATATGTGACCCACAATAATTATTAGAAAATATAATTTTCTAACAATCTCCCACGTGGGCCACATATTAACTTGAGATAATTATATCATATATCTTGAGTGCGCAACTGTATGCTATTTTTCTTTAGATTCCTCCTTAGATACAATCTGGTCCACCTCCTATATCAATATGAGATCATGGCGGCTTTTGTCACTTTCAAGCGTAACTAAACCTTCCATGGTCATCGCACCAATATATTCAATGACATAGATCAAGTATGGATGAGTGGCATGGAAATTACATGCAATGTGATCTTACCATGCCTATTTCCAACTGGTCCTACTTTAATCTTTATGAGATCAATCCTAAATCTTTTGCATACACAAAGCAGAAACACAAGCACAAAATTTAATACATTCAGAGGGAAAATAACATTGAATTCTCTATTCTGCAGAAAACCAACACTGGTAACCATTTATTTATTTCCATAGAACACCAACATAAAGAACTCCCACTAAACCGTAGTGTCATCGAACAAAACAATACCCATATGAGTAGTATGCTCGTGAAAGACCTTAGGCACTAAGCCTTTAGTAAGCGGATCCGCAAGCATGGAGTTCATCCCTATGTGTTCTATGGAAATTTGACCACTCTGAACTCTTTCTTTAACAACCAGAAATTTATATCGATGTGCTTCGATTTTGAAGAGCTTCTGTTGTTGTTGGAGTACAACACTGCTGACCTGTTGTCACAATAAATCTTTAGTGGCCTTTCAACACCACTTACTATATGCAGCCCTGTGACAAAGTTTTGCAGCCATACCCCATGGTTGGATGCCTCAAAACAAGCTACAAATTCAGCGGCCATAGTAGAGGAAGCTACGAGTGTCTGTTTAACACTCTTCCAAGAAATAGCTCATCCAGCCAACAAGTAGACATAACCTGACGTGGATCTTTTACTATCTTGGCATCCAGCAAAATCAGAGTCAGTATATCCGATGATCTCTAATTCATCTGACCTCCGATATGTAAGCATATATAATCTTTAGTTCTCTTTAAATACCGCATAACCCTCTTGGCTGCTTTCCAATGATCCATTCCTGGATTGCTCAAGTATTTTCCTAACACTCCCACTATAAATGCTATATCAGGGCGAGTACAAACCTGGGCATACATAAGGCTTCCTACTGTCGAAGTATAAGGTACCTTTGTCATTTCTATCATCTCAAGCTTACCTTTAGGGCATTGCGCGAGACTAAACTTGTCTCCCCTAGATATGGGCGTATCTCCTGACGTACAATCCTTCATGCCAAATCTATCCAAAATCTTTTCAATGTAGGCCTTTTGTGATAACTGTAGGATACCTTGAGCGCGATCTCGAAGTATCTGTATTCCTAAGACAAAAGATGCATCACCAAGGTCCTTCATCTCAAAATCTTTAGTGAGAAGTTTCTTGGTTTCATGCAATAAGCCTATATCGCTACTGGCAAGTAGGATATCATCAACATATAGTATCAGGAATATGAATTTACTGCCACTAAACTTGTGATACACACAATCTTCCACTAAGTTCACCTCAAAGCCATAGGAGATAATAACCTGATGGAATTTGTGGTACCATTGACGAGAAGCTTGCTTAAGGCCATAGATGGACTTTTTTTCAATTTGCAAACCATAGACTTTGAATCTCCCAATACAAAGTTTTCTGGTTGCACCATATAAATTGTCTCATCAATGTTACCATTGAGAAACGTTGTCTTTACGTCCATCTAATGTAGCTCCAAATCCAAATGAGCCACAAGCGCCATTATTGTCCTAAAAGAGTCCTTCGTAGAAACCAGAGAGAAAGTTTCTTTATAGTCTATGCCTTCTTTCTGAGTGAAACCTCTAGCAACTAGACGTGCCTTATATCTTTCGATGTTGCCATTTGAATCCTTTTTGGTTTTAAATATCCATTTACAACCAATGGGTTTTGCACCTTTAGGCAACTCAATAAGATCCCAAACGTCGTTGTCTTTCATAGATTGCATCTCATCTTTCATGGCATCAATCCATTTATGAGCAATAGAGCTTTCTAAGACTTGTTGGAAGTTGATTGGATCATCTTCCTTTAAGCTTAAAATATTTTCATGCTCTTGAAGAAACACAATATAATCATCCGGAATTGCATTTCTCCTTTCTCTAGTGGATCTCCTTAATGGCACTTCTTGAGTTTGTTGAGTTTGTTCTATAGGTGGCATAAGGGGTGATTCATTATTGTCTTGACCCAAAACAATGTCAGGGACCAAAGCCTGTTCCATAACAATGTCATGAACAGGGACCTGATCATTAATTGCTTGTTCCGTAATTGCATCTTGAATGATGACAATATTAGGAAGAGAAATATTATTTTCTTCCTCATCAAAGACAACATTCCTTATTTTATCTTCCCCCCCAAACTCAACATCCTCAAGGAATCTGGCATTTCCCGTCTCCAAAAAGGATCTTGTAGTGGGATTATAAAACTTAAAGCCCGAGAGCGTTCAGCATATCCAACAAAATAGCAGCTGATTCTTCTTGAGTCCAACTTTCTTTCATTTGGCCTATAAGGCCTTGCTTCTGCTGGACAACCCCAAATGTGTAAATGCCTTATGCTAGGTTTCTTTCCATTCCATAGCTCATAAGGTGTTTTTGTCACTGCTTTGCTAGGAACCCTATTAAGGATATAAGCTGCAGTCTTTAGTGCTTCTCCCCAAAGTGATTCTGGCAATGAAGAATGACTAAGCATACTCCTCACCATGTCTTTAAGAGTCCGGTTTCGCCTTTTCGCAACACCATTCATGCTAGGTTTACCTGGCATTGTGTATTGTGGGACGATTCCACA